ATCTCTCTGCAATCTATTTGAATGTCATCCGGACCATGGCAGTGACAGGCAATCCACGTGCAGATTTCAACAAGCCGTTGTATGACTCCGACACATTTGAAGTCACGGATCCCCATCATCTATCACTATCAGCATGCAATGTCCACATGTGAACCTCATGTCCTATCAGCCAAGTATAGGCTTGTGGATCTAACTGCCGGATTGCTTCCATGCGCCTCGTGAATTTGCACTACTGGTGCTCAGTTGCAGCCATCCATATTAAATCATGCAAGGCCTTGTCGTGATATTTCTTTTAGAAATTGGCCTTCAGGTGCCTCACACAGTAATGTTGGTATGTATAGGGTTCCTGCCATTCAGGCAAATGCCGTACAGAACTTAAAAACCACCATGTCGATTAGATCTTAGACAAATACTTGAACGCTGTTTGACAACGTGCTGCTTCAAGTGGTTCAAAAACGTGTCCACGTCTCTTCGTTTTCGTTGGAACAAATGGCAAAAGCTAGTAGAAATATTTGTCCATTAGCATCTACTGCAACTGCAATCAAAAGCTTAATATTATACTTTCCATAGACATGAGTATTGTCTATGGAAATTATAGGACGACAATGCACAAAACCATCAATTTCTGGTTTAAATGACCAGAACACATAGTTGAAAATATATTCGGGTCTGTTCGGACTCCGCTTACGCCTCCATTAAACAACAGTCCCGGGGTTAAAGTGTTGCAGTGCGGCCATGTACCTAGGCAGAGCTGAAAATGACTTATCCCAGTCATCATAAATAATTTTAAAGGTACGTTTGCGCCCAAGATATGCCTTTCTTTTGGTTATAGTACACCCATACTCCTGGTGGACGGCTGTAATACACTTTTTAATCTTGAACCTAATGGACACTTCTATGTATGGAATCAAGAGAAGAGAAATCAAGTCTACATCCAGGTTGAAGTGATTCTCATTGAACGTGTCCATTTCACATCTGTGGGTGCTAATATATTTACCCACTTTTCACAACCCTGATTTCTTCTTGTTAGCACGCAACATCTAGTGACAACCCATAAAGTCTCTATGGCATGCAACCTTGTATACCTCCGTAGTTGACTCCCTTACCGTCATCTCATGACACTCTCTTACGCTGTAGATTTTCACAGCCCTGATTAGGCGAGCTTTATCGGGGAAATACATGCCCTTTGCCAGCACCGCTGGTCTAGACTCATCCCACGTTGCTGATCAAAATTCATCAGCATCCCTTGTGAGGGTATCCACGTCCGACATACTTGGAAAATTATCAAGGTAAGGAATATTCCGCTCATGAAATGACACGTGGGACTCGTACACTCTTGGTCTAATGGGAGGTGGAGGAGCATGCTCCCTCGTCAGCTCAGGTTCGACATTCACTTTCTCCTCATCATCACCCTCATCAAGGAAGGGTGTGTCATCTTCAGACTCATCAGCATTATAGTCATAATCACTATCATCTTCTTGACTCTGTGCATCTGCCAAATCACGAGTCAATACCGTCTATGGGAAACTGTGTGAGGTCAGGAACATCAAGTTGTTCGTTTTCACTGCACAAAAAGAACAAAATAATAAGCTACTCAACTAGATAAATACTTTACATATAGCTATATTACTTTACCTACAAGTCGTACTGTGTTGATGTTCCATGATGGATATTTTCTTGTTGGTGATGACTCCCGGATGGACCACCGTGGTCCAACACGCCAGAACTACACATATTCCAACTAGGAGCGGGGTCATAACTTGTAAAATTCATATCCGGACGGTACCCTCTATGAAAAATATGAGTGTTAATACATATCCAATTCAAATATAAAATAAACATCGCTAAAGCGTAGAAAAATTGAAGTTTACCAGTCGTCTTGTGGATTATATAAAGTCAAAAAATTATTTTCTCGCTGCTCATTCGCCGGTGGTGACAAGTTCAAATCAAGGCAAGCTCTTTCATCAAGAATCTGTCCGGCAAAAACTGCTCCAAATTAACCACCCGATGACTGGGGATTATCCCTACTATGCACGCCCTCATTATTGGGAACGCTTTCAATCTTGACGTACATTTCCAATAATTTTATTACAATAAATTCCTTGTATTCATCCGGAATCCACAAAAAATCTCTAAGAGTTGCATCATCTTCGATGTTAGACTCAGAATAATAAGCAAACCCCTATGGAGTCACATAATACGAAAATCTACCGGTTACTTTAAGGTGCACCGAACGTTTCCTCACACTCATTTTTTTACATAACAATGATACCAATTTATCATACTCCATTGTAAGCGGCAATTTAACATGACACTGTGGAGGTGAACTATACCTCACAGAGTTATTCTCCATTACAACCTCACCCCCTCCCCCCAGTATAATAAACCCTTATTTTTGGCTCTTCAGACATTATAAAAAAATGCTTGATAACACGAAGAGAAGTATGAACGGAAGTTTGAAGGAGAGTTTTGAATGGATTTTCATCAAATCCTAACGCCTTTAAATAAGGCAAGTCCTAGCTGGGGTGCAATTGTTTTTATATAAAATACAGTATAATACCACGTTTTATGTATTTGAATTATTGTTATGTAAGTTATCCGCAGAACACTTATTGGTGGGCCCAAAAAAGTAAGTAAAATGTAGTATAATACTGCATTTTAGTAAAACGTAGTATTATACTGCGTTTTACATTAAAATGAATTATTTATGTCAGTTATCCGTAGAACACTTATTGGTGGGCCCAAAATTGAAGTAAAACGCAGTATAATACTACGTTTTAGTAAATGCAGTATAATACTGCATTTTAGTAAAACGTAGTACTATACTGCATTTTACATAAAAAACGAATTATTTCTTAAAACGCAGTATTATACTACGTTTTTCTTTAACGCCTACCTTTCCGTTAAATTAAAATGCAGTATAATACTGTGTTTTACTGAGAAAGGTAACTTTTTTTTAGCTATATAAAGGTATTTTGAGTCCAAAATACCATTATTTAGATTTCGGACTCTCGTTTCTATTCCTATAACAAGATATTTCTGATGAAAGGCTGTGGCACCCATTTTTTTCAATGAAAAATATTACTACTAGTTCAAATGATCCTTTGGGGTGACCGAGTTGGTTGAGAAGTGAATTTCCCAAATAGGAGGTTTAGGGTTCGAAACTCACTTGCATATTTCTTCGGTTGAGCTTGTCGTACGGGACTTGCCTAGTACAGTTTACCCCTTCTGTGATTTGCGGTCTATTACACAAGAGCGGAGTTTACCCTGTACGTACTCGAAGAATAGCGACTGTGGGTTCCTTTTACAAAAAAAATAGTTCAAATTCTTTTTCTATTTCTCTATCTAATCTGAATTATTTTTGTGATATCTGGCCTTTGGCTAGGCAATCAAAATTACTCTTTTCTTCCCATAAAGTCAATGCTACAAGTACTCCATTCGGTCCACTTTAAGCAATTTTTTGGTTATTGTCACACATATTAAGGAATTCACCTTTTAGCATTAATTAACAATATAATTAACCGTATTAACCTTAATTTGTTTATTGGTAATACAAAAAATCTTCCTAAGCTCTTTACTCAAAGAGCAACTTTGGAAACAATAAGTTAATTCTTTCTTGATATTTGAAAAAAACTAAATATTGTGGATTACACAAAAAGGTTAATAAATCAATTAAAGTGGACCGGATGGAGTATATTTGAATTTATTTATATTGACAAATGGGGCCCTAGAAAATACCAACACATAATAATTATAGAAATTTCTTCTTTCACTATTATAGATATTTTAGTAGCGGCAGTTGGACCTACCTCTCCTCAACATTATTTTTGCTTCTTTTGGGCTTTCCTCGGCATAAAATGATCTAATAGTCATTTTCAATTATTACTATGGCAAAGAATGACATGTTGTCTTGAGTCATACACGAATCATATATCTTCCCTATTCCATACTGCGTGGAGAAAATTTTAATTTAAAGTCTTACATACAAAAGAGTCCAATGGCCATAATCCTAATTAATCTACATCTGGAGTTGTGCCTGCCTTTTACTTTCGTTTTCCACAGCCCATTTCTACAGTCCTCATTTCTTTTACTTTTTTCCCCCACACACTTCAGCCACAAGCATATTACTCCCAACACTTGACACCTAAATTAGGACGAATAACAATTGAACACCTATATTACTCAAGATTTGTTCCTATTCTTAAACTAGGACCAATACCAATCGTCTCAATTTATCATTAATGAGATGATTTATAGTCATATAAATATTTATGACTTATTTTTAGACACAAATTTAAAAATTCTTTCTTTTTTTCGTTTTTAAATTTTGTGCTCAGTCAAAAACTGTTACATAAATTAGAACGAAAAGAGTATTTACTTTGAAAAGCTATTATAATAGTAGTAATATAGAAGAAAATTAGCTACCATTCGGTTGATTTAATTTTGTTATGATATGTCATATGCACATAAATTACTAGTGAATCTGAAATGTAATCAATTTCGAATGCCTACAGATCCGACAGTTGATTGATGCATGAATAAGATCTTATACATAGTTCTAAATATTGTTCAATTGTACTTACTACTATTCTTTTACTTATGTCATAGATAGGCATATGAAACATATCACACCATTAATATTAAGTTTGTAACCCTTAATTTCAAAGAACTCAAAACATTAACCACCAGTTTGACCATAGATTTTGGATATATATTTTTTCAAAACAAATTTTGGAAATATTGTTTCTTTATAGAATATGATCAGGTTTTAAAAAAAATTGATTTTTTTTTCAAATTTAATGCATGTCCAAACATAATTTCAACTTTCAAAAATTATTTTTTAATAATACATTTCTTTTTAAAATTTTCAACCAAATTTTTATTCCAACGCTAGCTGAATCAAGAGTCAGGACCACGTACCTTTTTTTTTTTTGGCTAAACGCAATCGAATCAAAATAGTGTTTACTTTAGAGATCAAAATAGTACAGAAACAGTGAAACAGAGATATTAAATACTCAATCTTCAGCCTCATAGTTTCCTCCCATAGTTCTCCTCTCTCTCTCTATCTCTACTTTTTACTGCTTTCAGTCCATGAATTTCATCTCTTTTCTTGCGTAAAACAAAAGCTGAAATGAAGGGTAAAGTCGCTGCAATTGTAGAAGAAGCATTTGTGTACAAAGAAGAGACTAATTTCACTGTTCTCAAAACATCTCTTTTCTTCAGTAGTGATGGCTTCAATGCGTATGACAGTAAAGGCCAACTCGTCTTCCGAGTTGATACCTATGGCCCCGACTCCAGTAACCAAGGCGAGCTCGTTCTAATGGATGCCTCTGGTCGATGCCTTTTCACTGTTCGACGAAAGGTAATACTAAATTCTCAAGTTTCCATACTTTTAAACCAATGGTAAAGGGCCAAAAATGCTCTTGAATTATTCGAAAATAGGATAACTTTTTCGTTCTTTTCATATTTTACCAGTAAAATATTTTCACTCTCAACCAAGTAGCTCAACAACAACAACAAACCTATAATTTTTAATCAATTGTTACCTAGGTGTCTGACATGAATTGCATATGGGATTTCAAATAAATTTATAAGTTTTGAACTAGTATAAGGTTTGGGAAGGTAGTGTGTTTTTTGCTGACCTTACCCTTTGCTTAAGAAGATAGAAATGTTGTTTCCGACAGACTCTCGACTCTCTCAACCAAGACCTTACTAAGGGTTGCTCCAGAACAAGGGTAAAAGTTTTTGCCCTTGAACTATTCAAAATGAAATAATTTTATTTTCCATTAAAAGTTTGAAATAAGTGCTCTTAGTTGTAAATTTGAGCAAAAATGCTTGATCGCGATCGCGAAGGATAAAATTATGTTGGATATTTTGTGAACCACGATCGCGAAGTGGTGATTGCGATAGCAAAGAAAGACGTATGACATGGGTGTTTAATGCCTAATTTCGGAATTTTAAGCTCATTTTCACAAATTTTGATGCTTAGGAAGCGGACCAAGACAAGTTTCGGTCGTTGTCCAAAATGTATTGTTATACTATTATTTTGCATTTGAATTCTTACAGTAAATATCATATATTAACCCTGGTAAGTTGACTCACCCCTAAATTGCTGTTACATATTTGTTTTAAGAGGTAATTAAGCATGCACTAACATGAAAAAAATATGAACATAATCAGATTATTCATATTACACCTAATCGGTAACCTAATAAAAATGGTAATTAACTTGATGTCACATATTAAACCACTATGATAGAGGGCAAGTCGGTGCACTAAGCTCTCGCTATGCGCGAGGTCGGTGAAGGGCCGGGCCGCAAGCGTCTATCATTGTACGTAGTCTTACCCTGCATTTCTGCAAGAGGTTGTTTCCACGACTAGAACCCGTGACCTCCTGGGTTATATGACAACAACTTTCCTGGGTCACATGACAACAACTTTACAAAGGCTCCCCTTCCTCGAATTTATAAAAGCACTATGATAATAAAGAATTTTTACACTGTTGTAAATCTAATCTTTGATTACTCGAAAATTGGAATAGAGACCAAGTCTGCATCATAGGTGGGATGGCTACTTAGCAGAACGAATGGAGGGGCAAAAGCCAATATTCAGTGTACTAAGATCCTCAATGATAGGAAGATCAATTGTGACAGTGGAAGTGTACAACAATAATCCAGTGGAAGAATACCAGATTGAAGGGTCATTTGAACAAAGGAGTTGCACTTTCTTCAATGCAGAGAAAGAATGTGTTGCTGAAATTGGACGTAAAGTGGACATTAATTGTGATAATTTGGTGCTTGGCAAAGACGTTTTCTCTTTAAATGTCAAGCCTGGTTTTGATGCTGCCTTTGCCATGGGTTTAATCCTTGTGCTTGATCAAATTAATGCTGATGATTATGTTAAAGTTAATGATAACCAAGTTGATGTTGAGCCCATTGTTGCTGATGATCCTCACCTTTCACCTTGATTTTGTTCGTATTTCAGGCTGCCAACCATGTAATCAATAAATTTTGTTATTTAAATTTCATTCTTCTTTCACTTACGATGTACCCTTTTCTTTATTTCATGATTTATGAGATTTAACTGTTGATAAGACCGAAATCAGAATGGCTAAAATATTCTGTAAAAACTGTACTATATTCATTAGTAGTGGTAGCAAAATAGTTAAAAGAAAATAGTTATTCACCCATATTATCCATTAAAAAATGAGTTTGATAATGAACTATTTAAAAACATGTCAGATATGGATAAGAACCATATTATCCACCTAGAAAATTGATAACCAATGGATGACTAATGTGTTTAACTTTTACATTTGTAAAACCTAAAATTGGGGGTTTCTCAAGTTTAGGAGACTAGGAATTCTTCCAAAAGTGATCATAAATCCGATCGGATAATTTATCCGTTTTTGCATTATCCATTTTCAACCCGCCCATATTCGACCTGACCCGACAATTTGTCACCCCTATTCATTAGTACGCTGATCATTATTAAGCTGCTATATAAGTCATCGGTAGAGCTTTGGTTCGGTGGTCGGGTTGGTCTCGTGAACCCATTATTATGCATGAATCCATGAAATTTTTTGTACCATTGTCACGGAGCTTGTTTCAAACCGTAAAAATTCTGTTTCAACTTACACAAGGTTTTCTTTACCGGAAATTTGAAAACCTTCAGGTTGCTTCATGTAAATATCTTTGTCAAGGTCACCATGCAAGAATGCAATTTTAATATTTAATTGCTCCGAATTTGAATTTCTATAGCTGCTTAACACCAACGTGATAGTAGTTAATTTGACTATAGGAGAGAAGATCTCGGTGTAGTTAATTCCTTTATTTTGCTGAAAGCCATTTACTGCTAATCGTACTTTGTATCTCTTCTTACCATTATGCGCTTTTTTGACCCTGTATACCTACTTGTTATGTAATGCCTTCTTTCCTTTTGGTAACTCCGTAATTATCCATGCTTTATTCTTTTGAAGAGAATTCATCTCTTCTTTCATGATTAGCTTCCACTTATAGAGTGACCTACTTTGCTTCAACAAAATGCTCTGATTATTCAGCATCAGTCAAAAGTAAATAATATGGAGAGGGAGATAACATACGTGGAACATTAGTGACTTTCTTGGGTCTTCTTAATATAGGTTCAGGAATAACTTATCCTGAATTTGATTCCAGTTCCAGCCTCATATCTAGTTCTGACTCTATCTCTGGTTCTTGTTTTAGTTCTGATCCAGATTTGACTTCTGGTTCTGTATCAGTGTCAGTTCTAATCCCTCCAGCTACTTTATTTTTTGAGATTTCTTCCATCTCAACTATTTCAGATATTTGTCTGCCGGTGTTGATTGGTTCTATTCCAAGCTTATCCTTGTACATCACATTTTTATTGAATGTAAATTATGATCTTTCTATTTCGATCATCCCAAAATCGATAACCAATATTATCATCACCATATCCAATAAATAATTTTTTTTGACTTTAGGATCAAGCTTATCTCCATCTTTAGGGTTTATATACATATAAGCATACGGAAGCTCCCTTGTTAATGAGGTAAGCTGAAGTGTGAACAGCTTCTGTCCAAAAATATTTCGGCAATTCAGAATGTATTTTCATACTTTTTGCTCGTTCATTCAGGATTCTTTTCTTCCTCTCAGCTATGTCATTTTGTTCCACAATTCCAAGAACTGTCTTGTTCATTCTGATCCCTTTCTCAGAGTAAAATGCTTTGAAATCTTGAATAACATACTCTTCTCCAGTGTCAGACAATTTATCTGTAGGCTCGTTTGATTTTAAATTTTAGCTTTCCATCTCTTAAAGGTAACAAACATATTAGATTTATTTTTAAAAAATAAACTCATACCTTTCTCGTGGAATCATCAATAAAGGTAACATAATAGCCTAAGCTTCCAAGAGAATTTGCATGAGCTGATCCCCACATAGTCGTATGCACTACTTCTAACTTTTCTTTCTTTGGTGTCATTCCCACCTTTGAGAAACTAACTCTCTTTTGTTTCCTGTAAATGCAACCGTCACACAAACTTAATTAATCATGTTTGAGGTTTGGCAATTTTTATTTGGATGCCAACAACTTCATTCCATTCTCACTCAATTGTCTGAGCCTCCGATGCCATAATGTTGAGTCGCGATCATGGTCAACTGCTACTATAGTATCTCTCTGTATTGTAGTAGCACATAGTGTTTCTTTCTTAGAGCCTCGCGCCACAAATAAATTTTCTTTGGTTATCTTCCATAATCCATTACCGAATTCTGTTGTATATCCTTTATTGTCAATTTGACCCATGGATATCATATTTCTTAAAGGCCAGGAACATGTATGACATTTTGCAATTTTCATAGCGTCCATTGTGAAGTCTTTATATAGATTTCACCTTTTCCGACTATATCCATAGATTCGTCATATGCTAGATAAACCTTTCTAAATTTTAAATCGACATAGTTATGCAATAATTTTTTCATGGTGTAGAGTGAAAAGATGTATTTGAGTCTAGAATCAAAGGTTCGACTGGATTGTCTGCACAAAAAGTTGGTGCATCACCATCGTGTTCAGCAATTACATTTGCTGAATTATCATCTTTGTATTGATCGTTTTTCTTTTTCTTCTTTGATTATTTACAATAACTACTTTAGTGACTCTTTTTATTATAATCCCAACAAGTAATGTCTTTCCGATTCTTAGATTATCCTCTTCTCCATGACTTTGATCTGCCACAACCATGACTCTATTCTCTTTGGATGCTTCCCCCTGCTTTTGGTATTGAAAGTAGATCATGGAGAATCATTTGATTCTCTTCGGCAACCAAGTTTATTATATCATCCAATTTGAGTTTAATATATTCCGATAAACTGCTAACTGTATTTACTATTGCACACTAACTCTCCAATAGAGATGATAGTAGAATCAGTGTCCTTACTTCATCATTAAATAACAGAACTCAACTGAGTTAATATTATATTAAACTCATTGATATGTACCGTACTAGATTTGCCTTCTACCATCTTCAAGTTGAACAACCATCGCATCAAAAAGACTTTATTTTAAGCAAATGACTTCTCGTACATATTTGATAACGCCTTCACTAGGCTTTTAGTGGTCTTCTCGTTAATGATATTGAACGTTGTATTTCGTGTAAGCATTAACTAATCACACAAAGCGCTTACTGATCTAAGTGATCCCAATCTGCTTTGGCCGTATTCTTTGGTTTTACTCCTGTTAGAAGTAAGTGTACCTTTTCTAGTACATGTAATCCTCTATTTATATTTTTCAGAATCCAAAATTCTTTGCCATAAAACTTGTCAATCTTAATCGTCCCTTCTTCCGACGCTATTTTTTCGCAAATTTTTTTAGTAACTGGGAATAATACTCAGTGTAGAAAACTTTCCTCATTGAGGTAGACAACACTCTCTATTGGTGAATAGTACTTTTAGTATTAATTAATGATACTTTTACTATTATGAACAGTGTTAGTATTAATGAGCAATAGTTTTGCACTATTCTTGCAAAATAATACACTATACCAATACCGCACTCTTCTATCAAATTACTGTTAAATTCTGTGTTCGAAAATAAATTTTGCAAAACAAAACAGAAAACAGAAACAGAAATAGAAACAATATAATTAAAGTTTCGAGCCCAACAGAAAATTGTGTTTCCTTAAGGAATTAATCCTCTCACTATTGCCCAAGGTTATTGAATTAATTCCTCCCAGGATATAACGGTACAACAAATACCGCCAATGAAAATTACAAAACTTCGCCGAACTCAACAAACGACAGTAAACCACACTAATGCTTACGTTTTATTTTTGGAAAATAATGCAGAAATGCAGAAGAAAGAGGTGAGAGTTTGCAGATTTTCGGTGGTGAAAAATGAGGCTATTCCTCTGTATTTATATCAAATGATTTGGGTTTCAACAGGTGCCTAGATACATGTTCATTTGAAATGGTGTCTGTTCGCCAAAATTAAAATGCACAAATTTGACAACCCGAAGCTGAAGCCGAGGTCGAAGCCGAGCCGAGCGAACGCCGATGACGGTGCAAGGCACCAATTTCTTTCCATTTTACGATGAGGGACAAAGTGCCTTAGTAAAAGGAACACTTCGCTTCCCTCCAAATATTTTCCACAATTTTCCATTCACACCTCTTTATATAATTAAATAAAAACCCAATAATTGCACTGTCTATACTCTTATACCAATATGTTTAGTTAGTAGAAAATACACATTAATGTCTATCGGATACAAAATTAGTCTATCTAAGTACTGGTTTGACTTAAAATTCCAAAGTTTTTATCATTTTACGGAACGAGTCAATTGAATAGGGACATATTAATGGAGAAAAGTAAAGAAGAAGCATAATTTGGAAGAAAACTAAAGGAGAGAAGAAAGTTTTTGGTTGATTAGAACACTACTAATAAAATATCCATACTTCAATGAAGATATTCATCATAATGTCCTTTGAAGTGGGAGGACATTTCATAAAACCATAGTTAGTAGAATAAGCTCTTTTAAAGGTATAACTAAGAGTCTCAAAATGTCAAGTTGTGTAAAACATCTTTTATTAATCAACAAGCAAAATCTCTTATACAGTATACTACTGACACAAAGCGAAACAAATACAAGCTGCTAATAACAAGTGTATGTATAAATCAATCATGGGTTTACTGCACTGTTATATTAGCTAAGTATGAATCCGAAGTTCAACATCCTCTAAAGAATAACGGCCAACGCAATGGAACATAAACTGATGAAGAAACTGGTGAACAAAGCCGTCTAGGATGATGGAGAAGGTGCATTGCTCCCACCAGGAGTTGTAGAACCCGAAGGTCCAGTAGCTGATGGCGAAGGCAGGATAGGTGGGCTGACTGGACTTGGAGAGCTAGGGTTTGGGGGATTAGCTGCTGGTGTGCTGGTGCCGGAGACTGTAATAGCCAACTTCTGTCCAGCTTGACAGTGCCTACCAAAAGTACAAATATAGTAATGATCGCCAGGAGAGTCAAGAGTGACATTTGCTGGTCCCGTCATAATAGGATCGCCTATAGCATTTTGTGAACCACATGCATCGAATGAGGCTATTGGTAC